TTCCCTTCTAGCTCCCTGTTTGTGGCCTGGGAAAGCAGTTGAGGATGGCCCAAAGCCTTAGGACCCTGCACCTGTGTGGGAAACCCAGAAGAAGCTCCTGGCTCCTGGCTTTGGATTGGCTCAGTTCCAGCCATTTGGCCACTTTGAGAGTGAACCAGCAGATAGACAATCTCTTTTCTGTAAATCTGACTTTCTAAAAAAAAAAAAAATCAGCGCGTCTTCCTTATTCAGCCACCTGGGACTGCCTTTTTCCATCCCCAGCCTTCTAAATAAATACTAATGCATAAATAAGAGCACCCAGACTAGAGTATTTTGTCACAGCAGCTTCCAGCACATGATTTTATCTAATCTTCAAATGGTCTAATAAGGGAACCCAGGCCTCCAGATTCCTACCTTACTTGTGAGGGGACTGAGGCTCAAAGAAATTAAACTATTTTCCAGGGTAATTTGTCTGTGTTGGAACTGGAACTCCAACTTTTGACTTGATTTGGTACATTGCTCTTCATGTAGGGTGGTCAGAGCTACCTTGACCTAGTCCTGCCCCATCTTTGGGGCACATTTGATCCTCAGGGAACAACAGCCACCATACTCTTCCCTCTGTACCTTGAAGATAACTCAAAGCAGGGACTCGAGGCCCAGACACAGAGATGGGGTAACTAACTGATGTGAGAGTGGGTGGAACAAGAGGTCCCAGATCTTAGGGTGGGCATGGATTCTCAGGGTCCGCTCCCACTAGTGTGTGCAACACAGCTGAGCTGACACTGGCATTATCCGCATGTCAGGAGGTAGTCATGGCAACTCACTCCTCTCCTAGGCTGATGAGTACACAATTAGGTAGAAAGGAGGAATCAAGTTAATTGCCTGTCATCCCCTCTCTGCTCTCTGTGTATTGATTCAAATTAAGCTTTTTCAGTTTTCTAAGGTCAGCCAGATACCAAAGGATCAGAGTACAGGCCTGGGAGTCAGCACCTCCGGGAAACAGCCAGTTCTGAGTGAATCCCTTAACCTTTCTGCCTCTCTGTTTACTTCTGACCTATACATTCAGAAAAACAAATCTCTTTGCCTGTCCTCCCTTGATATCTGACATGAAGTTTATAACCCGCCTTCATTTTAACCATTTCTGACTCCATAACCATTCAATTAACCATTCAGTCTCTGAGAGAAAAGAGTGAGGGATACAAATTAAATTCTGTCTCTATTGAAATGCAGGAAGCATTGAACTAGAGACCAGTGGAGGGTATTGCATGTGCATGTCCACACAAAGGTTGGGGCTGGGGAGCTAGAGTTAGAGATCTGCCTTTGCCAAAAAAGTCCTTGTCCGCTGAACTGTCCACCTGGTGGAACTGGAGGAAGTCCTCAGCAGTGTCCTAACCCCTTTCCTAGCCCCATGGTTCTTCCGCGAGATGGAACCATGTAAACATTCTTGCATGGTCCTTGCTTGGCTGGTTTTGTGTTTAGTGCTTCAAAATTCTTCTCTGCCTAGAATTCCTTTTACATTTTATAAAGATGCTTCTATGATCACTGCCTAGAAATTCTGAAGGCTGCGTACATGGAGTTTCCAAACACCATGACTATTTTTGTTATTGATAACAAGCAGGTCATCATTGTATGTACAAATTCTATCTCAATTTTTGACCACAAGCTACAAGAGAGAAATCATGTCTTCTTCTATGATGTTGCCTAACACCAAACACAGTGCCTGGCATGTTAAAGATAATCAATCAGTAATTGTCAGATAAATGATTGATTTATGAAGTCAGCAAATGAATAATGTCTAATTGGAACATTAGACAATGGTTTTCAGGAAGAAGCAAATAGTTACTTAATGAGTAGAGTTAATGTTGATGGTGATTGATTTAGATTTTCATACTATCTGTATTTTACTCAAATTGTGTGGGCAACTGCGAGACCTGTTTGTGTTTAGAACAGAGATTACACTCAAGAACTTTGCTAGGATTTATTCAGGTAAAGAACCCTTCATTCATTCTGGCTCTGCAAACATCAAGCCCTGGGGTTAAATACATTGGTTCCTTATGGGAACAATAGATCAGGGAGGTAGACTGAAGGGGCTCGGGCTGACAAGGCTGAAGTGAATATTTGAGAGGTGCGTTTAGGATTCCTCAGGGAAATTCTTTGGGGATCAGAAGAAAATTCTGAGAAGGAAATGTTACAGAACAATTAGGGATAACAGACACTGTCTGTGAACAAGCTACCTTTCAGTTTAATGGTGTGGGTGACAATATGGCTTTTACCTTGTATCCATACAAAACTCACAGCTTTTATAGGACTCTTGGCAGGTGTGGAAAGTAGGAAGAATACTAAGCTAGGAATCCTGTCATCTGAGTGTCTGTCATTAATTAAAGGGGGGAAATATATATATTGTCATTCTGGGTCTCAGTTCTGTTTCCTGCAAATGAAAAGAGAGGGTAGGACCCCATACTCTATAATGGCAGTTCTGTGATTCTACAAAGGTAAATACAGATTTCCCGTGTTACTGTTCTAGAAAGTGAACATGGAAAGTGGGTGAAACTGATGCTTTGGACTGTATTCCGGGGTGCAGGCAGGTGAAGCAGGATGATTCACACCCCCAAAATTGTTCCTCCATGTTTTTCTTCCCAGTTCTTCTTACCTTCCCTTCCACCTCTCTGATGAGAGGCAGTCTGCCACAGTAGCTTATTCCATGGGCTTATTAATCAGACATTTGACATTTGAATCCTAGCTCCAACATTTATTGGCTGTGTTTTACCTAACAAATTTCTTAACCTTCCCTGCTTTAGCTTTCTTATCTTTAAGTAGAAATATTCTTGGGCCTGGCGAGGTAGCCTAGTGGCTGAAGTCCTCACCTTGCATGTTCCAGGATCCCATATGGGAGCTGGTTCTAATCCCAGCAGCCCTGATTCCCATCTATCTCCCTTCTTGTGGCCTGAGAAAGCAGTCGATGATGGCCCAAAGCCTTGGGATCCTGCACCCAAATGGGAAGCCTGGAAGAGGCTCCTGGCTCCTGGCTTCGAATTGGCTCAGCTCCAGCTGTTGCGGCCACTTGGGGAGTGAATCATCGTATGGAAGATCTTCCTCTCTGTCTCTCCTCCTCTCTCTATATCTGACTTTCCAATAAAAATAAAAATAAAGTAAATCTTTAAAAAGCAGAAATCCTCTTACCCAAAGTTTCCACAAATTTTAAATATGTGAGATAAAGAAGAGCTATAAAATATTTGCTTTCATTCTTTCTCATAAGTATATCCAGTACTAATGCTACTTACATTTCTACAGTTTGAACTTAAATTTTGATATGGAATTTTATGAGCTTTTTACCTGGCTACCTCACCTTTTTTCCCATTAATTTTTAATGGAAAGACAAGGAATCATGTACTTTTATTTTTGCACCATTTAATTGTCTCAGGATCCAACTTTGCTTACACCATAAACCCACTGAGCTAAATGGCACATGGTACAAGAAGTGGTAAGCAGGTAGAACTTTCCTGCCAAGTTACAATATAAGCATTATTATTGAAAATAACATTTTTTTTTCAAATGCTGGTGCTAAAAGCATTCGAAATTAATAGGTAACTAGCTCACTAGAGGTATATATATGTCTTTAATATATACTTAAGGGCTAGGGGACTAAAGGCAGGGCAAGGGAGGCCTTGGATTACTGTCAAGTCCTATGTAGTCTAAGTTTTAACAGCAGTGTAGTAGGTATCAGTCAATCTTATACACTAACAGCTCTTAAAGGCAAATCTACTGAAGTTCACAATGACATTTCTTAAATTATCCATAAATTTCATCTTGATTCTGCAATCAATAGAAAATAGCATCTGTAAGTGAAAGGGTGGATGGTAAGAATATTGAAGTTTCTTTTAAATGCAATTTTGAATGACATTTGCAAATTATTTCTATTAAATCTTTCATCTCAGCTGTAGGAGTGTTATGCTCAGGATTTTTATGAGGGCTTTATAAGGAGAGTCCATGTGCTAGCCTTGGATATCCACCCTGCCCAGTTCCGAGGTTCAGGGGCAGTCAAGGTGAGTCCAGGTCACCACTGGACATGAACAAATATAGTAGTAGGTGAGGGCCTCCTTGAGTCAGTTACTGTCATACTCATTGTTATACATCCAGAACGTGCACAGGCAGACATTCACTGTGTAGTGAGATTCACGATCTGAACCTACTGCTAAGCAGAGATACCCTAAGCGGGACACCTGCTTAGTGCAAGGAAAAGTGTTTCCAAGATGTATTCTGGACTATAAGGTTCCACTGTGATAGTACAGTGGGATTTTTTTTTTGTCATTTCCTCTCCAGTGGACTTTCCCATCTGTGATAACTCTAGATGCTGGTACTGAGACTGCCTCAAGAGACAAGGGCAACGAATCAAATGGTCTTCCTAGCTAGAAATAAAATGCAAGGATACCAAGGTTTGAAACAAAAGCCCAGGTCCCAATGTGGGACATCATCTCCTCTGGGGAACAAGTCTCTCTCACTAAATGTAGCCAATCAGATTCTAACAAGAAGTAGAATCCTGGCTTGCCTTTCACATCTTGGGATACTATGATGGAGAATAGCAACGAAGAGGGAATGGTCCCACCAAAGCACAAGGTTAGTCTGCCAGTTACTGAGATGTCTCTTCTGCAACGTGCTTTACTGGTGAGATTTCAACATCCTGGTGAGCTAAGAATGAGTTCTGTTTGTTTTCCTTCTCTCATAAATTACACACCTCATGACAATTTTGTGTGTGCATAGTCATGTTTTTCAGCTTCTTTCAGAATTATTGCTTATCACTTAGAAGTTCCCAACCTCTTGAAGACTGAAATCAGAATGGAGTCAGATTTTAGCTGGGGAGGTAGAACAATTTGTCCTGGAGGAAGCAATGGATTATACCTGCCCCACAGGGACATCCTGGCTCTAGGACTCCTCTTCCTCCCACATGTCAGGGAACTCTGTGCAGTCTTCCTGTGCAGGTCCTGGCCAGGAGCCCAACAGCTTGGCAGCTAGACATGGATTGCAGGACATGTTGCCTCCTTTCTTCTCTCAGCAAGACAAGATCTTGAGGAAGGCTTTGCGGAACTCGACATTGAAGGTGGTATAGATCACAGGGTTGAGGGCGCTGTTCATGTAGCCCAGCCACGTTGTAGCGCTGTAAAGTTCTGGGGACACGTGGCATGCTTGGCAGTGGGTATTGAGAACATGGGTCAAGAAGAAAGGCAGCCAGCAGATAATAAAGGCCCCTGGGTTGCAAAAGAAAGCAGAAACTGGGTAAGGAATTTGTTTATCCTTTCACAAATGAAATTTCATATATGCATTTTCTTTTTTTACAACATCCCTACGTAGAGGGTAGAGTGAATCACTTTTTTTTTTTTTTAAGTGCAAAAGCTACATGCTAACATCTTTAATTCACGTCAGGCTTTTGTTACTAAACCAACTTTCTAGTTTGGTCTTCAGCTAGTTCTTCACTAGCCTTTTCTCCTTTTCTTTTGTACTCAGACATTTGCTTAAGGCTTACCCACAGATAACATGACTGTAGGGACTGATAGAGAAGACCTTAGAGACATCAAAGACAATTGCTGCTGTTAAGGAGGCAAAATCTAGGGGTTCTAGGAAAGTTCCTGACATACGAGGAGTTAGGGTTTGCCATTGACTTACAACATGGATAGCTTCCCTAGTTCTCTGGAGTACCTAATTTCTTTTAAAAATAAACTTGCTTTTCTTCTACAAAAAATTAGCCTTGATTCTCTATACATTGTAAAAAACTAGGCAAATATAGAAAAGTAAAAAGAAGAAAAATAACCACCTATCACTCAGACATCACTTTTGACATCTGAGTGAATTTCTTTTCAGTCTTCTTTCACTGTATTTAAAATAATCTAGAGTTCTCATACTGTATGACAGTCATGTTTTGCATTCCTATTTTGTTAGTTAATTTTTAAAATAAGTACAATAAGCATTTATTCAAAATCCACTGTGTGTCACTTGTATTGATTCATGCATGATCTTATTTATTATTTGATATATGTATTATAATTCCATGTGATAGCAAAATGTGGATCAATGAGGTGGGTTGTTCAGCTTCATAAATTTGATTGAGGTCTTTTGATTTTCTCCCATAGTTAGTTTTTACACACAAAGCCTTTTCAATTTTTTAATAAATATTACTATCACTGGATTTTCAAATTCTCTCAAATTGGAACCATCTGCCCATTTCCTATAACTTAATCTATCCTAACCCAAGACAGTTGTCACAGCAACTTACCAAGCACGATGGCCACCATCTGGGTTGCCTTCTTCTCCCGAAGTGGCACTCCCCGAGGCTGCAGGGAGCCCAGCCTCAAGGATGTCGATAACCTACCATTACTGAGTTTTCGAACTTCGAGGCTGAGTTTGGGTGCCATGGTGGGGCTCAGGGAGTTTCGAGTCCCCTCTGGCCCTTTTGACTGCTGTTCTTCTTGGAAGCCCAGTGGTCTTAAGGCAGAATCTTGACAAATGCTGTAGTAGCGCTTCAGCTCCATGTGTGCCCGGCCAGGAGACAGAGGCTGCAGTTGTGACAAGAGAGGGTCCTGACATTTCTGGGGACATTGTTTGTCTTCTGAATGTTCCTGAAAGGGGAAGGAGATGTAAAGAAGGAAGAGGAAACTGTCCTGGGAAACCTACAAAGGAAGCAGCTGAGAGGGTAGTGGGACTATGAGAAGCTAAGAGAAAAGCAACCTACTTTTGACTTCATAGCTGAAAAGCACTATGGATAGAGCATTTGAGAATCACAGCCATCCCTCTATGAGGGTAACAAAAGATTGTAATCCGGCCTTTTTGAGCTGGGATAGTCTGGTTGTACAAAGGAACATGCTAAATGATACCATCGGGATGTAGACAACAAACCTGGAATATGGAATGTGAGAAACTACAAGAAAAATTATTCAGCTTCTTCAATGAATAAATTGTAACAAAAGCAGCAAAAATACTACCAATTGCAAAGTATAGGCCTTATTTGAATTTTGGTTCAAACAAACCAACTATAGAAAACATATAAAACAAATTGAGAAATTTTAATATTGATTGGATATTTAATTACATTAGAGCGCTATTACTAGTGTTTTTGTTACTGTGATTTGATGTTGTAGTTGTGTGCTTTACATCTTTTAGATGACCTCACAGACATATTTTTGTGGTAATAATATGATGTTTGGTATTTACTTCAATCCAGTGAGAGTGAGTGAATATAAATAGAAAGGTGAATAAATGCATTTGGTTTTGAGTTGAAAATTAAGAGCTTTATTATATTTGTCTTATTATGTTTTTACTCTTGGAAATTTCCACATTAGGGGGAAAAAGCATTTTAAAAGAAAGTCGGGATTTTTATCTCAGCTTTTCTACTTAGTAGCTGTATCCTTGGGCAAATTAATTGAATATCTTTGCACCTCATTTGTAAAGCAGAAAACAAACGGGGAAAATGGTTATAGGATAAGTAATTCCTGAGAGTAAAAAACTGAAGATGTGTGAACACTGCTAGAATTTAGTGGAGGAGGATGTGAGTGTGTGTGGGGGATCACAACAGCTGTGCTTCTTCTCCTGTTTGAAGAAATCGGACACTTGCATCAATTCCTATTGCTGAAACCAGAAAAGGCCACATTCTGCACATCCCCAGCAATGACAGCCTCTTGGCAACCTCCATCTCGCCTTTGTAGTCAACACTTTTCCTTCTTTTGGCTTTAGAATTTCTATAGATCAAGAATCTGAACTATGTTAATTTAAACTGCTTTGCTATCATTTATGATGCATACCATAAATCTGTTTCATTGGGCCTATGTAATAAATGGTTGATTAACCAGGGATTGGACATGACACAGCCCTTCATCATGGGCTTTGGAAGTTTTATCCGTAGTGTAGAGTTCAGTGAGATAAACACTGATTTTAAATGCAACACTTCCTGACTCCATCAGGTCTTCTGCTGGCGGAGGGAACAGAGAAGATGTGAATGGGAAGGATATCATTCCGGTGATTATGAAATCAATCTTGGTTACTCCACATTCACAGACAAATAGGCACTTGAAAGTCTCCTTTCTCTGTTTTTTTGCTTATTTTGTTTGTTTTGTCTAAGTATGTTGCAGATACATATGTTCTCTCTAATCTAGGTGGCCCTGGACAGCACCCTCTTTTAACATCCAAGAGTGACGACCCAGTCATTGGGATATAGCCCAATAGTCACAGCTTTCTGAATATCATTTGATTACTCCTATTTTGAAGCTTAAATTAATCTCTCAGATTTGTGCAGGACCTGGGCTAGATTTCATTTTGGGGTGGACATTAAATCAAGACACACCAGTATGTCAGGAAAAGGTTTCTTATTTTTTTCCCAATGATTGCAAGTACGACCGACTTACCATTTTCCCTGTGGTATCTGATGAAAATCTGGCTCTTATTGAAAATTGTCGAATAGGGTGCAGTCGCAGACAGGAAGACTAGGGTAGGTTCAAGGAGAAACAGTTTTGGATTAAGTTAAAAAAAATTGATCCATGTCATAAATAGAACAATATTTTGATGCAATGTTTTCATATCCTCAGCTTTAGTCCTCAGCTATTTCAGGGGAATTCATAGTCATTTTATAACCAAACTTTAAGACTTCAACTGTGAAAATCTGACCTTTACTGAAGTCATCAGAAATGTGGCCTGATGCTTTGGTACGATGGTTTAAGTTACCACTTGTGACACCTGCATTCATATTGGAGGGCTAGTTGAGCCCTGGCTGCGCTGCTTTCAATCCAGCTTCCTGCTAATGCACCTGGAAAGGTGGCAGAAACTGACCCTAGCATCTGGACGCCTGCCACCAATAGGAGAGATCTGGGTGAAGTTCTTAGTTTCTGCTTTCAGCCTGGCTCAGTCTGGGCCATTGCAGCCATTTAGAGAGTAAACCAGCAGATGGAAGATCTCAGCCTTTTTCTGTGCCACTTTTCCTTTTAAATGAATGAACACATTAAAAAAAAATTCATTTAGACTGGGGGCTAGTTCTGTCAAGTCAAACCACAGAACTATCTGGAGAGTGCGCAATCTGGGAGTGGGAGAGTCCTGGGAGGGAAATAGTGGGCTCCTCCCTCTTGAGTTACCACTTCTAAGGGAGGGCACAAAAACCAGGACAGGGGCTGGGGTGGAATACTGGAATATGGTGTGGGACAGACTGCATTACTACTACAGATACTGGCAAACCAGGGTAGGGGGCAGGCCTGGTGGGGGTATTGTGGGTCGCTCCAACTAGGCTGCAGCTCCCACATGTTTATGCGAGGGCCGAGTATGTGCTGGGCAGAACCAGGCTGGACTGCAACACCCATTGGTTCCAGTGGAAGTCGAAGCTGAAAACAGAATCAACCCAGCGATTGCAACCACCAGCTGATCAAGGCGATGGACTGTGCCGGGCCCTGTACTCGCTAGCACATACAAGAATCTGCTTTTAGAACACGTCAGACATAGTTTCTTTGGAGATCTCCCCAACCAAAATGCTGGACTCAGAACCCTAACCAAGAAAAGAGAGAAGACAGAACAAGTCAATCAACTACCTCAGCTATATGTTGGCAGTGAAATACAGGGCAAACAGAGACTCAAAGACCTGATCGTGCTTGGAGTGGCAAGATTGGTAGCAATTCATAACAGTTGAACTATCAAAACCACTTGAGCAAGAACCTCAGAGCATGCCCTACATCCGGGACCTGGGGAGGGTGGGAAATTGGGTGGGCCTTCTCCCTTAATACCCCCCTTTAAACATGAAGGAAACAATATGGAAATACTAGCCTTACCCACTTTCCTATAGCCTTTGAACCTTTTTACCCCAATTAACTGTGTAAAGATTGTCCAAAATATAATAAAAAAAGGTAAAAAAAATGAAAAAAATTCATTTAGACAGCTAATTGGATGTCTTCAAGGTCAAACTCACTTCTTACCCTATCTGTGAAGCCCTTTCCTAAGCATACGTGAGTACTTCAAAAAGTTTGTGCAAAATGGAATTTAAAATGAGTTTATTTTGGTGCTAAAATGTTTTGAAATCCAAACCTAACTTTTCCAGGAACTATTTAAACACCCCATGGCATTGTCCTTTTCTCAGAACCTCAACAGTACAGCATATGGAGTGCTTTATTGTCTTTATCTTATATGCGGCAAATATCCCATTCAATTCTGGACTATTTAATAACTTTGGGTAGAGCTGTGATTCTAAACTCTATGAAGGCAGAAGCTGTAACATATTCCCTCTCTTACTTCCCTGGTAGATTACAAGGGATCAGGATCCACCCATAAATGCAAGATCAGTATCCATTAAAAAAATGCCTCAGTACATTGTGGATGAACTATCAGGTGCCAGAATTTAAAGACCAAGATCATTAAAAGATCAGTGCTGAGATAATGACTTTCATTTTCTTGCTTTCCTGTTTTTAAAACAATTTTTCTTTATGCAAAAGTCAAAGTTAGGGAGGGATGGAGGGAAAGGGAAGGAGAGAGAGAAGGAGAGAGAGAGAGAGAGAGAGAGGGGACAGAGTGAGAAATTGAGATCTTCCGTCTGCTGGTTCAGTGCTCTGATTCCTGGGAGCTGGGAGCTTCTGCTAGGTCTCCTACATGGGTGTGGGGAAAGAACAAGGCCGTGGACCATTGTCTGCTGCTTTTCTAGACCATTAGCAGGGAGCTGGAATGGAAGTGGAGCAGCTGGGACTTAAATCAGCGCACATATGGAATGCCAGTGCTGAAGGCTGCAGATCAGCTTGCTATGCCACCATTTTTAGAAAACTTGAAGAACGTTATACATGCATCACCAGTATCTAATTCAACTAACTGAGCTTTGGCACAGAGGCAGATTTCATAAGAAAAAGAGGTTTTCAATAAATCCTAGTAACTCTAGAATAAGTGGTTTTAGATGAAATGTTGCTGGGAGTACCCTCCCCCCCCCCAAAAAAAAAAACACAAACAAACCTAGCAGTGCATGGTATATCCTCGAAGTGCACTAAAACCTCAAATCTTGTGATGCATTTACTAGCTATGTGAGGGAAACAAAAAAAGGTTGAAAAGAAGAAGTCCAGAAACCATCCTATCATCTTATTAAGAAAGGAGAGATTGCCTCCTTTCAAAGCTCTGGGAGTACAGGCAAAACCAGACCCTGGGCACAGGCTGGGAGGCCAGGAGTTGGGTGTAGCCTCCCTGCCCCCAGCCTCCACCATCCCCTTCAGGTGCTTACTTGCTGTGGAAAGCCGGGCCTGACACTGATGCACTGACTGTTCTGTCGGGTGAGAATTCGCTTTCGTCTCCTCTGCCTCAACACCACATAGATCCTGGCATAGACAAGCACAGTCACTCCAAAGGGCACATAGAAGGACACCACTGAAGAGTAGATGACAAAGTCAGGGTTGGAGATGGAGCAGATGCTGGGATCCCCTGTGGGGGAGAGAATGGGATAAAGTAAAGTGATTAGCTGGGTGTTGGACTTAAATAGGAAACATAAAACATGGCCTCAAATCACTTGTGATGTCTCCAACTTCTAATGCACACAAAGCCTGGGTGAGACGGGAGAGGGAAGCCATTGCCATCAACTCCTTGGCAGTAGAAAGTCAGAGTTCCCTTTGTCCTCAATGTTCACTTATGAAGAAAATTTACCAATAGTTATATGCCAGACTACTTTGCCTTGGATTTGCAAAGATGGATGAGACACTGTGAGTGCCCTTGAAAGAGTATGTAATCCAGAAAGACAGGTGTGGTAAGTATCACAGAAATGAACATAGCTTGGCAAGAGCATCGCAGAGCAGCATGACACATGCTCCTGGGTTTGGGGAGCTGGGGAGAGGTGGCCCCTAGCAAAGGGCCTGCTGGTGTGGCAATACTAGAGAACTGTTGTTCTGGAATGGGAAAAGGAGGCTCCTGTGCTAAGAGAGCCAGCTTCCTGGTGCCAAATCTGGAATGCGAAGCAGGTGGTGGCTGAATCCAAGAACTTCAGTTCTGGGTAGGGGAGGGATAGGAGGAGGTGGTTTGATCTCACACTGGGAAGATGTGACATCAGAAGGGTCCCATCCCTGCTGTATGTGCTCCAGTGCTCCTGCCATTCTTCCGTAGAACAGCCCGGGAGCTTTGCCTTCTTCCCTAGCAGATATTGAGATTGCTCCCTCAAGTAGGACAGGACCTGAAAGTTGGGCATCTTGAGAGAGAAAAATGAGAGCAAATGGATATCTGCACTGAGGTGTGCCGCAGGCCTTGTATACTTAGCTGACCTAATCATTGTAGCATCATGTGAAGCAGGTGCTTTTTTTGTCTCCCTTCTCAGATAATAGTTCAGAAAGATTCTGTAAGTAGTTCAAGGCCATATAGCTGAAAATATACTTTTGCCAGCCTGTCTGGGCCTCAGACCAAATGTTCTTTCTGCACTTTTGTCCCTTCACCTTCCTCTCATCCAGTGACATTGGTATCTTTGTTCCATCCAGTGTTGTTAGCAATGACTGTGACATACCCAGCCACTCCTTCTGGAGGCTGGGGTTTCTCTAACTCAAAATTTGGCCTCAAAGCTGTGGCTTTAGGAGTGAGCTGGAGGGGAGGTGACAGTATCCATGAGTCCCTTCGTTGTCCTCTTTGTCTTCTTAGGTAGGGAAATATCAGGCTGAGACCCTAAATTGAGGCATAGATCTGCTGTTTATTAACTATATAATCTTGGGCACTTTATTATGCCAAACCTTAGCTTCATTCCCTGTAAAGAGAAGGATAAAGATTATCCTGTATAATGATTTTGAGAATTAATGAGAACAAATGGTGGCAATAATAACATTTATGGTTATTAATTTTCCTTGCCCTCAGCTTTTGAACTTAAGAAAGAAAGTATCATTTTGAATGGAATTCAGATGGAGATGTATAGAATGCAATATTTGTGGTAGAAGGGAGATAGTAACGGCTGAGAATTAAGACCAAGAGGCTGGTGTTGTGGCACAGAATATTAAGCCATTGCCTCCAATGCTGGTATTCCATATCAGAGTGCCATTTTAAGTCTGATTGTTCCACTTCCGAGCTAGCTACCTGCTAATGCAACTGGGAAAGCACAAAAGATGACCCAAGTGCTTGAGTCTGTGCCACCCATGTGGGAGACCCAAATGAAACTCCTGGCTCCTGACTTTGATCTAGCCCAGCCCCATTGCTATAGAAAATCTCTTTCTTGATCTCTCTCCCTCTTCATCTCTTTTCTTCCATTGTTGTCACTCTGCATTCAAAGAGAGAGAGAGAGAAAGAAAGAGAGTGAGCTAAAACCAAGAGAAAAATGGAAAAATGTGCTCAGTGTGTAGTGAGGGAGCTGACTGATCCACTGCCACCAGAATCTTTACAAGGAACCCAAATAATTCTGTTGGGTGTTGTTCTGAGACTCTCCTGGAGAAGGGATGACACCCATGTCATCTCCTTTGGCAGAGCCCATGTCAGTATCCTTTAGGAAATGGCTCTAAGTAGCAGGCAGAAATTGGCCTACTCTGGTATTCTGGCGGCAATGGGTTTGGGAGGGGTAGTGTAACCACTGATGGTCTTTCTGAGTCTCCAGAGAGCCAGCAGGATGATAATTAGTCCACCCTGCTGAAGATCTGCTCCCCTATTGTCAGTGTCTGACCGTGACTCTCACCCTGTTATGAGGAAGATTCACAGCTCAATTGCCCTCTGAGACGGGGTTTGAGGACTGGCAGAACCACCTCCCCACTTCAGGTCATGGCCAGCCTTGGTGTGCTGGGGACTCCCCATTGTCACTCTACATACACTTGATCCACCCTCTGCTGGATTCTGGGTGGCTCATGTGTACATTCCATACACAAGCTACTACTTTTAAAAAAAGGTTTATTGTATTTTTATTGGAAAGTCAGATACACAGAGAGGAGGAGATACAGAGAGGAAGATCTTCCATCCATTAATTCACTCCCTAAGTGGCCACAATGGCTAGAGCTGAGCCAATCTGAAGCCAGGAGCCTGGAGCCTCTTCCAGTTTCCCAGGCGGGTGCAGGGTCCCAAGGCTTTGGGCCGTCCAAGACTGCTTTCCCAGGCCACAAGCAGGGAGCTAGGTGGGAAGCAGGACTGCCAGGATTGGAACCGGCATCCATATGGGATTCCGGTATGTGCAAGGCGTGCATCATGCCAGGTTCACAAGCTATTACTTTTAATAAGCCAAGATCAGAAGAGGGTATAGTATGTTTCTGTTTGTCTAAAAGTGGATCACACAGAAACATACCTTGTGGTAAGCATTTTCTTACAAGACCATTAGTGCTTGCCCCCCAGGGAGGGCAATCTGGAGTAGAAGGGAGCCTACCCAGAGATATGCATGTATCTCATGATACCTCATCAATGCTTTATCATATGCCAGTGTCTATTATTCCAATACAAACATTAAAAGTGTGAGTACGAGCAAGAAAAAGCACCTCACTATTTCGGGGTTGCTGATCAAAAAAGGCTCTGGTATATAATCGCTGAGTTTGCGAGGTTATTGCTTCCTGCTATGCTAAGTAAATCACTGCCCATCCTTTGCTGGAGCTTTGTGACCTCTCCTAGGTTGCCCCATACTACACGCCTCGTCTTGGCAGCGTGGATGAAGTGACCCTGGAGGTGGTGGCCTCTGAGTGCAGCCCTGCCTGGGTGTACAGCCTGACTGGCAGCACAGAGGAAGGCACCTCACTGCAGCCACTCTACTCTGTAGGGCTTCTCTGCTGAGTTCTGAAGAGGTGGTCAGGGCAGTGAGGCCCCTGGAAGCTGAGGCTTGCCCTGAATTGAATCTGTGCTGACTTTCAATCATTTCTGAGCCATTCGTGGATGAGGCGCGAATAAGAAAAATGTACCACTGAGCACTCACTGGCTAGAGGACCCTGGGGGAACCTGGGGGACGGAGTGACTCTTCCTTCTCCGGGATCAGGGATGCCCACCCCCAGTGATCTCAACATTTTAGGAGGAAAGACAGTTCAGCGACTTATGCGTCCAACTGTTGTGGAGTGTCCACCATGTTCAGAGCATTGGACTGGGTACTAAGGGTTCTAAGAGGTTTTTAGGGCTAGCCTAGGAACTTGAATCTGATAACTGTCAGGCCAGAGCAAGATTGCCTTGAGAGATTAATGAATTTCAAATTCACTGAAACATTTAACCTCAACTTGATTCTGAAGTCAGGAGATGTTGATGAATCTGATTTTAGGACAAGCCTATCCTTCTTTCAACTGTGCTTCTATTGTTCTTTCTGAGCCTCCACGCTCCTCCTGCTTCCCCTGTTCTGAAAGCCAGGTGAGGTTTTCTTTTGCTAAAATGAAATAAATGGCACTCTTCCATTTCCCGTTTTTCAAAGGAAAAAATCAAGCCGCCAATAGGATTTTCTTAACTGAATTTTTCCTCCCTCGAAAATTTCTTAAACCCTTGTCACCAACTATTGTTTATTCGTTCTAGAATTTTTTATATAACACAATAGCTATTTGATTTAACAGAATTTTAAGTGCTAGGCTTCTTTTCTTGTCTGTGGAATCAAAGGATTGGGCCCCACCATGTGGGGGACTTTTGGGCATTCTTTGACACCAGCACACCAGGCTCTGCTGTGTTAGGGGCTGCTGGAGAGTGACACTGAGGGGCCAGTATGGGTGATGACAGCTCAGACAACACTTGATCAGCCTTGGAGTTCTGTGACTCACACCTTGCCTGTCCTTACCCTCTCTTCAGAGGATAGGAGCAACTCCAACTTAAAAGAGACTTAAGTCCCACTTTTTTCTATCAGATGTTCTCTAAGAATTCTCAATTGCATGTGGCAGCCCATGTTGTTAAAGAGCTTGACCAGAAAGTTATTTTCTCTGTTGTACTTCTTGGTGAACGTCCAGCTATTTTTAATATCGACTTTATTGGCAGTATCTTGGCCATTCCCCCTCTGCTCTCCACAAAAGAAACAGGGGAAAAGGCTGAGAGAAATTTATTTATATTGGGTTTGAGAACTGCCTTCTAGGTAGGAGAGTTGCTGGAAGAACTGACATCCATCAGGATAACAAAGCTGACGCTGTCATCAGAGGTGCTTCCCCAGGTGCTGTGACACAGCAAGTTAAGCTGTCATCAGCAGTGTCACCATCCCAGATATGGGTGTCAGTTCAAGTCCTGGTGCTCTGTTTCTCATCCAGCTCCATGCTAATGGTGTGGCAAAGCAATGGAAGATGGCCCAACTGCTCAGATGAAGTTCCTGGTTCCTGGCTGGCCAGTCCTGGCCTTGCAGCCATCTGGGGAATGAACCCATAGATGGAAGATCTGTTGTGCACACATGTGCACATATACCTCTGCCTTTCAAATCAATCAATATACCTTTAACATTTTAATTAGAGTTTTGGTTTTCTGAATATTCATTTTTTCAAAAAGATTCAAAAATTTTGTTAAAGTCAGGATTAGAGAGAGGGGGATAGAGAGGGAGGGAGGTTAGGAGAGAGAGAGAGAGAAAGAGAGAGAGAGAGTTCTGTCTTCTAATTTTCTCCCTAAATAGACACTTTAGCAAGAGGTGGGCCAGTCTGAAGGTGGGAGGTGGGAACTTCTAGGTCTCCTATGTGGGTGCAGGGACCCAAGCACTCGGGCCACCCTCCACTGCATTCCCAGGCCATCATTAGGAAGTTGGGTCAGAAATGGGGCAGCTGAGACTCGAGCCAGCATCCATATGGAATGCTAGCACTATAGGCAGAGGCTTGATATGCCACCACACTGGCCCCCTAAATAAATAAATATATTAAAAAAACACAACTGTACTGTGAAGTTCAGATGAAAGCAGAGAGGGATGGCTGGACCTTCCCACCTTCAGTCCTGCTCACAAATTCCCTGCACTGTGCTCCTGGGGAGAAGTGTTGGTCTGCCTTACGGCCTTCAGCAGAATGACTGTTTTATTTAGCTCTTCTTTGAAGCAGTTGTATAGTTAAGTTGTGAGACACAGAAAACCGTTCTATTAAATAATAACAATAATAATATCTGCTAATGTTTATTGGACTCTTAGAACAGACTTGACAGTTTGATATCATATATAAATGATTGCAGGGTTTCCTAGTGTTAGTAATAGACTTAAAGGAAAGAGAGAGAGAGGAGAGCGAGGTGAGAGGATGTGCCACAGGTCTCTTCTCTCTTCTCAATTCTGCCCTTGAAACTTTTTGGAGAGATTTTCCTGGGTTTTGCCTCTGAAATAATAATGATCTCTCCGTGGTAACAATATCACAATTAGTTCATCATTCTTTTTCACTTAATGGTTGACATTGCCTGGGAGCTCTGTCTAATGTCAGATTTGAAGACCCTTTCAGCAGTTTCCAGGGTGTAAGTCTGTGAGGAACAAGAAGCTGCCCACGCCTGCCTCCAGGAATAAGTAAAAGGAACCACCCTCAGCTCAGCAAATGCTGCTGTTGGTGCAGGTTTTCTGCTGGCCAGAAGGAGGTAGAGCCTTGGTTTTCAGTGGCTATGAGTGCCCCACATGACAAATCTCAACTTAGAAGGAATGCACTTTCATATAGAACCAATGTTTGGGAAGGTGACCTAGTAATCTAATTACCTTCAAGGCACACTTAGCACTCACCAAAAAAGAATTCTATTGTCATAGAGTCAAACTCGGACTCCATGTTAGGGATGTTGCTTAACAGTGTGAACATGAGTAGAGTGATTGTACATATAAAGTGCTATCCAGTTAAGGAGGAATGCATTGTATCTTAGGAACACAGTAGGTTAGCCAGGTAAATATTTGTTAATGAGTTGGCTACTCCACCTTTCATATAGCAGAGAAATAAGCCCGACCTTAAGCAGGTTGCATGGACAGAACAAATCTACGTATGTTATTTCAATGTAACCCTCATTTGATTGCAAACCATCACTGTGAAGCAGTCACATTAGGGTTATTGTACATAAAGGGTTAATTTCTGAAATCAGTTAACAAGGAGCGGGATTGAAATTAGTGGATAAGATGTCCATTCCATATCAGGATGCCGGGATTCAAGCTCCAGCTCTGGCTCTTGATAACAGCTTTTTGCTGAGGGAGACTCTTGGAGGCAGCAAATGATGGTTCAAGTGACTGGGTAACTACCAGCTATGTGGGAGACCTGAATTGCATTCTGGGATCCTACTTTTGTACCTGGTGCAGTCCAAGTCAAGGTAAACATTTAGGGAAGTGAAGCAATGGATGCCTGCTCTCTTTCTGTTTGCTTCTCAAACATTATTTTTTAAGGCAATGTAGGGCAGGCATTTGGCCCAAAATCTAGGCTACTGATTGACATCAGAACATTGGCATGCCTGGGTTTGATTCCTGGATCTGGCTCTTGATCCTAACTTCCTGCTAATGCACTCCATGGGAGGAAGCACCAGGTAGCTCAAGTGGTTAGGTTCCTGTCACCCACATGGAAGATCTGGACTGAGTTCCCAGGTCCTGGCTTTTACCTTTTATTGCAGTTCCTTTCTCTCTCTCTCTCTCTCTCTCTCTCTCTCTCTCTCTCCTTGCTCTCTTTTTCCCCTGCCTCCCAGGTATATAGGTAAATAAATAGTTTAAAAGTCAATACATACAATGGAATTCATATAGATTCAAATTTGATTTGAAAATCCCCCAAATCACATACAAAGGGTATTTGTGGTTGTATAATAACCCTGAAGAGTAGTAAGATGTACGATACTTACAATAATCTGTAATATAGAGTTCAAGTAGATCATGAAATTTGTGTGATGAAAAGCTAATTTTTAGGATGCTATATGTGAAAAATAAATATTGAAAGTTCCTAATTAAGCATATAAACTGAGCGAATATATCTGAATTCATTCAAACTTTTTGCTCCATTGTATCATTATTCCAAATTTACCAATAATGAAATCAACATTAAAATAGTTAACAAACTTGCTCAAGGATTCACAGCTGATAATAAGCTTGCTCAAGGACTCATATGGAGTTTGAACCAGGCTTTTCTGACTTCCAAACCTCCATCTGTCTTCCTAAATGTGTTCTGATTTCAAATCATTGTCTGGCAAATAACACTTGGAAGATTATTTATTAGTCAGGATTTGTCTGTATTTATATATAATTTGTTACACATAATATCTGCATATGCATAAGCACATGGCTGTGTTAGTAGTACATATAAACCAGAAATTCACAGACCTAGAACTTTGCAGGAACTGAATGAACCAATCCAAATGAACAAGACAAGAAATCCAAAGGGATGTTAACCAGGCAGTTCTCTTTTGGCAAACACTCCATATACACTGTCAATAGCTTAGATTTGACTACCGCAATCCTTAAGCCTAAAAGATGAGCATGGTACAGACAGCAAGAGTCCTGGTCCTGCGAGGTGTAAACTTGGATTGCTGTCGCATGGTTAAAATTTCAAACATCTCAGGTATATACACTGTCCTTCTATCCATCCATCCCACCCACATATTCACAATCAGTAGAGAATGTACCATATGCAATCACCATGATCAGAATTTTTGTATATTAAAATTGAAAAATACACACTGAAGTAATTTGAGAACCTGTACTCATTCCCAAACCCCACAAACAATTCTTGAGTCGAAAATTAGAAATAAACATCTTACTCCAAAACCTTTATGATATTGCATTGTAAGTCTGCTTTGAATTGTCATCTTTTCATTAGCAAACCTCACTTGAATTATTAATATAGCTTAGTTTTTAAACTAGTGCATTTCTGCAAATGGTACAATGACATTTCTTTCAAAATATGGGTGAGCCAAACTTTCCATTAATTGGGGGAGAACTTTACCCCTCTGTCAATAATTGATGAGGGCTTGCTTTATATTTTATTTATAACTAACAAAGGTCAAAGCTTCGCAGTCTATGGCACTGTCATCTGGTTGCAAAGTACTCTTTCGAGAGATCAGAAAGGTCAAAGGTGGGCATCCCCCACAGCCACTCAGCTGCACTTAGAATCTCGTGGGTGCTGGAAGTGAAGTTGTCTTCAGTACCTGTGGTGTTGAGGCCAAAGAGGAGTGGGCAGGACACAGCAAAGGCCAGTACCCAGACAGCAGTGATCATGAGGGCCACACGCCGACAGGAGCTCTGCCCCGTGCCATGCTGGTAGTGAACAGGCATGACCACTGCAGTGTACCTGTACAAGAGAGGGAGAAAGAATAGGCATGATGAGATGGGTGGGTAGGTGGCAGGATGGGAGTGGGATACGTGCATCTCACAATGAAGTGCCCGATCCCAGTGCCAGTTCTCATCTAGTTGCCTGTATGACGTATCTGGGAGATGACACATGATGGTGCAGGTGTTTGGATTGCTGCCACTTACTCGGGCTACATGGATTAGGTTCCAGATTCTGGTTTGTGCTTGTGGCAACAGCATCCCTTATCTGAACCCCTAGTGGAACCCGGGATGCTCCAGTTCTGACCCAGCTCTCCCTGTTAATGTGTCCCAAGTACTTGATTTCCTGCCACCCACTTGGGAGACCCAAACGGAATTTTAGGCCTTTGACTCAACCATTTGGAACCTTATAGTCACTTGGGGAAATGAATTGGTAGATGGACATTCTCTTTTTCTCTATCTCTTCCTTACTCTGCCATTCTGCCTTTGAAATAAAATAAAATAAAATAAAATAAAACAACTAAATAAAAATAAAATAAAAAAGGACCATCATGTTTTTTACATCAAAGGGTATTATGGGCATGGAAGGTGTTGGCCCAGCCACCATATTGTCCAGAGGCAGTGGGGGGCAGGGAGGTGTCACAGCTTTCCTTCCCATGGCTTCACCTGGTTGTTGGGCCATTAAAGCACTGGACTCAAGGCTTAGTCTCTTTTCAAGGCGCCTCAAGGCCACCATGAACAGCAAGACTGGGGTAGATATGTTTGAGTTGGAGTTCCACCCAATAATCTCAGCAGAATCTAAATTCTTGAAGAGAGTGAGATCTGAAGGAATGCCAGCTGCTGAAGGCTGCTCATCTGTAGGGCCAAGGTGGGGATTCATGAGAGGACTTGAAGAAACGCATGGCCAAAGGGAAGTGGGACTTCACAACCTCCCTGGGCTTGGTTGTGGGATCTTCATTTGACTTTACTACATAAGGACCTTTATTTCTCCCTCTTGAGTCAGAAGGTACTCCTGGTACCAGCATGGCACCAAGGCCAACTTCCACAGCGTTTACCTTTATTCTAGTCAACTTGCAGCTATTCTTTTGGGGATGTAAATGTCAATGCTCTAGAGCAGGTACGGAAGAGGCCTATCAGGTGGTACTGCTGCTGAGGAGCTGCCATTTACATGGGTGCTAGGGAGCCTTGCCCAACCCCCTCAGCAGATACCCGCCTTTTTTGGTTCCAAACCTTGAGTGCACAAAAAGGGCTAAGGAATCTCTCCCTCTGAAGCTGGCCTCCAGGATTCCAGAAAACTGATAAGATGAAATATGTGGAGTATGCACACCCATCCCTATGTAGGGAACTCCTTGGAATTCTGTTAAAATGCAGATTCCTATGTTAACTCTCTGAGGAATTGGATGAAATACTTCTGAGGAGGAACGTGGAAAGGTGTGTTAACAAGCAAGTGCATCCGGTGATTAGACAACTTGGAGAAAGTTCACATTAGAGAGTTTCTATGTCAAGGATTCTCGTGAGTTTGAGTAAGGCGTGAAAGACGAGACTACAATTTACCATTGTCACATTTTCTTATAACGTTTTTCACCATGATTGGAACCTTGGAAATAATTCAGGCTCCCCAGCTGGCCGGAGTTATTTCGGAATCAGCCATCAGAGGGCACCATAATGCAGCAAGAACTCGGTTCGCTCAGCCGGGGTGAGAAGTTCACGGCTCACCTGGGGGCTCTCCAGGCGCAGTGGGGAGGCAGAGAGGGAAAGTTCCGGCCCGCGGCTCCTGGAGCCCCGCGGCGACCCGCGATCCTAACCCGGGAGACAACAGAGCCTCCTGCTTTGCCCGTCCGCAGGCGAGGCTGCGCGGAGACGCCCGAGGGACGCTTGACCCCGAGTCACCTGCGCAGGTCCCACCTGCTGCTCTCGTTAGGGTGCTCCTGGACCGCTGCTACCCTGTGCCAGTCCCTGTGCTTCTACCGACCAAGTGGGGCCGAGCCGAACTCTGGCAGCGGGCATGGCGGTTAAGTTCATGCCTGAATCCCAGCCCCACAGTTCCCAGTGTGGCCACGGGTGCCGGTGCTTGGATACTTCTGAGACTCAGTGTACAGGGGAGAGGAGAATTCCTGCCCCTTAGATCGGTTACAAATATACAGCGACATTATCTTTGTTGCTGAGCACAATGCCAAGTCCACGTTAACGAAACAACCGTATTATTGTTGTGAGCTTTCATTGGGCCAAGCAAGAGGACTCAGCGTCTGTAACTGTGTTCTTTTTACTTGAAACTATCTGGGAACTTGAAACGTATTTTTTTAACAGACAAGTCTATGTGCCGGGCACTGCTGAAAGTGTCTCACAGGAGTTGCAGTTGTGTCTTGTGAACACACCAGGAGACTGAGGCGTTGAGACAGGTTAGCTGATTTGCCCAAGCTCACATTGCCATGAAAAGATACAGCCAGAGTCTGGAGCCCAGACAGGGCTGGAAGCTTAGGCTGGCAGTATGTTGCAGTGGCCATGAAAGGACAGAATACTTACTTCTGCATCTACTGACTGAGAAGTCCCAGCAAGCTTGCTTAGCAGGGGTCTCGGTGTCCCTAACTGTAAAGCCAGGATGACACGCTTACGTTGCTGGGTGGTCGTGAGCGTTATCAGTAATGGGTAAGAAGGGACCCCAGAGAGTGCCCGGATACTTAGTTACCGCATAATCAACCGTAGTTGTTTCGCTTCTAGACTCATACAGAGGAAGCCAGGACACAGAAGGTATGAACCATGTGCCTCACTTGGTTCAAGGGAGCTCCCCGTATAGAGTTTTGCAGCCAGCATGCCAGAGACCCCTTCCTCGTTGCCCCATTTCCACCTCTGCTGACCGCCAGGCCGCGCGCCTTGACACACTGCGGGGAACCAGCGGATTCCTTTCTGAGTCTGCCAGCGCTGCGAGACTGAGGCAGTATGCAAGCATTTCCCCCTCTCTGCTCAGCCGATTTAACTATGACGCCCCTTGGGGATCTCCATTCCACAAACTGGACTCAATCTCCACCCTAGGGTCCCGATCCAGGGAGGGCGAGATGAGAGGTGGAAACCACTTGAGGGTGCCTCTTTAGGAAGCGGGCAGTAGGGGAGAGGCCGGGGGCTGGCCTGGGTGGGAGGGCCGGCCCCTGACTCCTCGCTCGGGTTTAATGAGCGGGTTGCTCTGCGCGGACTGCTTTTCAACACCTTTTCTTTGGTCGGACAGGGAGCTTCAATAAATCTTTAGTACCGTGGACGCACCTCGTGGGGTGGTTGAAGGAGAAAGCGTTTTGCAAATGACTGGAAAGCCCTTTGCAAATATAAAGTGCTTATTTAGATGCAAACTAAAAACCCAAGGTGCTTGTGACTCATCTGGCACCTATTGTGCTCGCGGCAAAGGCGCGGAGGCTTGCCTGTGTGATGGGTGCCATTTGAGAGCCACTTAAAGAACTCCTTAGTGAATGAATTTGTTCGCATTATTCCCGGGCTCTTTGCGGGGGACTCTCATTTTTTACTGCTAGGTCGTGTCCCACCTCTCTTGACACATTTCTCAGGCCTCTCCCCGAGTTAGTTCTGACCCGGGGCACGGTGGGAGGGGGGCTGTCCTGGCGGAAGGCAAGGACCCATGGGACGCAAGGCCTCAGCTCCGAGGACTTTCCGCTCTGCCTTTTAAAATAGAAAAGCCTGCCTTAATCCAAGCATCCAGAGCAGTGCCTAAGAATCGAATGACAATAGTATTACTTGCTTTCAAAACCCCCTTTGTCAGTTCCTTTTCTTCCCTATATCTTACCACCCTGTGGTTACAGACTGGGGTTTCATGACCAAAACGTTCTGAATCCATCAGGTCAAGTTTGTCAGACCGGTGACTGGCATTGTGTGAGGACCAAAGGTCTGCCTGAATGACTGCATTTTTAATGACTTGACCAGCTACTTGGCATCACATGAACGGATTTTAATGCTGTGTACTGCAAACTGCTGTGCAGGATAATGGAGACAGCTTTTCCAAGGCCCTTTTTTCATTCTGAGTATGGAGAGGGCTTTATTTTGAGGTTGGTGAAGCTTGGGCTTCAGAGAAAAGCAAACTCAGGGAGGGGGCCTTCTTCTCCATTGGAGTTATTGGGGCTCAGAAAACCAAGACCCTGAAGTGAAGGTCTTAAGTAGCAGCCTCAGAAACAAAGTTTGTTCACGATCTTTTTTTATTCTCTGTCGTTGGCAGTCCTTCTGTCACAAAAACTGAAAAGGAGTTCCTCTACCAAGGAGGTAGGAAGATACCAAGATACCAAGGAGGCATCGTCCTGTGTGCCTGCCTAAGCCCAAGCAGTCCCTGCCCATCCTCTACGATTATCCACTCCCCGAAAGGAATGCATGGAGTTGAGGGAGTTGCACAGCTGTTCCCCCACAATCACCCACTCAAGAGGTCATTTGCTTCTCTAATAGATAAAACATGATTACCAATCTTGTCTAGAGGGGTTTTGTTTAGGGAAATGCTAAGTTTGGGGTAGTCATTTACCCTCATGGAACCCTCCAGACCAACTGAAGCACACTTGGTCATCATAAAAGTTCCCTGCAAACCACAGTATCACTGGCCAATCAAAGGAAAGCCACAGGGACCACAGATCAACCAGGAACTTGGACATTAGCTGATCATGCACCACTCAATCCCAATTTCAATCAATAATAACCTTCACCATTATTACCTCAGGGAGACTAGGAATTAAGTGGAAACTGCCTAACTTCTGCTCTGCACTTTGCAATTACGTTTTTTTTGTAGCACCCCAGTGTCAGTGATGGCCTTTCTGTGTACATTGGGCAAGTAGATTCAGGTTGGAGGTTCTATAGCAACTTCTCCAACCAATTAGGAGAGTGTTTCCCAGATAAAACTAGACTTCCTCTTCCCCAAAGCAAACCTGAGAAAACTGGGACCCCCTTCTCCCCAAAACCAGATATAAAGCCTGAAGATTTTATTCTTATCTTTCTTGTTCTTTGTGTGTAACAGTCATAAACACATGAAGGTCTTCACTCTAGAGGGTCCTACCTCTGCCTCACCCTGCAGGGGCCAAGAAGAGCCATGCTGGTGCAATCTGCCTTCCCCAAGTCAATGCTAGGGCATACCGTTTGTCTAATCAAATTTCTACATGGTTGTCTATGTGTCACAAAAATCTAAGCATAAAAATAGCCTTCTGAATGTGTGAGGTCTTCCCTCTGAAAAAACTCTTGTGTCATGTTGTTACAGGGAAGTCAGTGCAAAAGGCAACAGTTGCCTTAGTTTGCACTTGCTCTCATGAAAGAATTTCCATGCAGACGGATCAGTCAGTAAAATGAAATTTATTAAAGACAGAAACCTCCTGCTGCAGCAATCAGGAGAGGGGCTAAAAAGAGGAAGACCCAAGAAAATGGTTGAAAAGTGTGTTTTAGCTAGAATTTGGATGAGTGGAACAACTAATAATCAACAATTACAAAACCCATCAGAAGGTTAGAATTGTAATCTTGTCTAGCTTGCTCATGATAAGATAAAACAAGAAACTACCAGAAGGGTATGATTGATGCGATTTCTTTCTGTTCTCATGATAAAACTAGAAGGACGAGATGGCGTTTTTGTTTTGCTAAAAGCACGTTCTAGGCAGAAGTAAGCATCTTATAAGCTTTTAAGGAGACTCTCCCCCTCCTCATTCCAACATGGACCTGATCCTAACTACCTGTTAGCTTTTGAACTGTCCTAATATAGGACTATGATCAGATAAATGTGTTAGGCTTCTCTCTTCCTGACCTACTTTTTATTATATAGGTATCTGACATGACCTTTTTATGATGGACAGGAAAACATTGTCTCTTTATCTAACCCACATGGTCTTACTTAACTTTATACCTGTAAGGAAATATCCAATGGAACTAACTTTATAAAGAGAGAAGGTTTATCTCACAGGGTTGGAAATTCAAGCCCAAGATTGAGTAACCCATTGTTTTAGCCTCTGAGATGGCAGCTGGCAAGGGTGGAGCACAAAAAAAGAAAGAAGAGAGAGAGACTCGCCCCAACTTAGGCTTTTATGACTACTCCTCTTGAGAGAATTGTGGTTCACCCTCTGTGACCAAAGAACCTCCCATGAGGCCCATTCCCTGACACTCATAATTGGGTTATAAGTACCATTAACATATAACTTGGGGACTTAAACATCTGCATGAGTTCAGAAGCCAAATCATATTCAGGCTAGAGTAGGAGATAATTCTGACTTTCATTTCATAGGCCAAGGAGACACTGAAGAGTTTTGAAAAGGGCAGCAGACATTATTTAAGGTTTTTCTTCTGTGGGAATAATTTTGATAGTGTTTCTTAGATTCCATGAGGGAAAAACAGAAATCACAGCCTGTTTTTCTAACATTGCCTTCCACCTCATCCATGTTTCTCCTTGCATCATACTCAAAATGTACCCAAATCTGCCTGTCTTCTTCCATTTCTCTGTGTTCTCAACCCCCCTTTCCTCTTTTTTACCAAGAACAAACAAGCAAAACAATAGCCTACTTTCCTGTCAGCACATATCAGCTCATCTTTTGTCCCTCCCAGCATCCCTCTTTGCAATTAGGAATCCCAAAGACCCTAAAAAACAAACAAACAGCAAACAATAACAACAACAATAACAAAAAGCAAGAAAAAAAAAAACAATGGCAAGATCCTTTTCAGGGACCTACAAGAGAAGTAAGGCTAGGGAAGCTCATAGGATCACCATCCCTCACCTATTGCTCTTACCTGCCCACTACAATTTAAAAGAAAATCTCCCAGTTGCAACTTATACCTGGGACTGACCCCAGTGCCCTCAGATGCAAACCCTTGCTCCCCACCCTGCTTTAAAGGGAATCTTGATCCTACCTGTCTATGCTGATGGCGCAGAGGTTCAGGATACTGGCTGTACACATCATGACATCCAGGGTGACAAAAACATCGCAGCAAATTCGGCTGAAATTCCAGACTCCACCTGTCACCTGGGCATCAGACACAATGGGAAATAAGCATTTTTTTTTTTTTGGCAAAGGAACAACAATCTGATTATAACCAGCTATAAATAACATAAGCAAACACATTTTACTACCTAAGTGTAACATACAGTTCCTTATTTCAGCTTCTTGTGTAGAGCAGGAAGACCATGGCCAGACTTGATCTAATCTTACCACCTATAGACCTCAAAGACCACCACAACGAAATAAGCCATGATGTGTGACTCCGGAGACCTACAACTCACATGATTTTGCCATACCAGCACCCCCTTCTCTGAAGCATCTTATAAAGCCTCAAACACCCTTATCCAGGATGGCAGAGAGATAGTCCTTTAGACCCAGAAGTCTCGTACTCTTTCTTCGGTTGACATACTAAATGTTCTCTTTCCTTCATCCCCATTATTTGGATTTGGCACTGGAGATAAGGACTGACCTTTCAGTCACACAGTAACTTGGTTGCTTACCTATGCTACCAGCATCAACACTGGCTTTCCCTCCCTCCTCCTGCACTGTTGTGCATACTACAGTCATCATTCAGGAATGAGACCAATGAGACTATTCAAGCCCAGAAAAATGTTGTGTGAGGTGCAGGATCAAACCTTGTGAGGCCATGCTCCTTGGACCACCACTCACTGCCCCATGTTTACACGTGCACTGTTGGTTGGGAAACTTATCATTTGTTAGTCTCCCAATAATGCCTTCAAGTGGGATACACAGGAATTGCCCAGCTTAAATGGTTAGAGACCACCAATGGGGAGGGTCTTCTACGGACTGGAAACCTCAGTGGCTGTTTGACTCCTTTCAGGAGACACCCCATCTCCCAGATGTCTCCCAGGAGTTGCTTTCCTCTTTTTTTTTTTTTAAATTTGCTTGTTCACTTTGCAAATAAAACTTCTTTATTTGCAATGGGTGCAAAGCTGAGGGAGGAATCCATCAAACTTCCAGGTACGCCAGGACATCCATAGTTGGTTGCTAAAGAAAGTACAAATCCACAGAACATTAGACTATTATTACTAGAACATCCACATCTCTAAGTCCAGTTTTTCTCAAAGTGTGCTCCACAGTGGGGATACTCATTAAAGGTGCAGATGCCTAACATTTCCATAGACCTACTGAGCTAGAATCTCTTGATCTGGGCTTCATGAGTCTTCATTTTTAAACAAACACCCCCAGACCTACCAAGGTTTGAGAATCACTGATGTGGGTCAAACTCAGGGAAATTTCTCATGGTTAAGTGCTTTGCCTGTATCTGCACAACTGGCATTAAAACAGCTTGGCTGGCTGCCCAATGTGTGTGTTGTGCCAGAACTGCCTCTGAAGCTTTCCACTCAGTAGAGAGCTCACCATGTACCCAGGAAATAAGCTAAGAGTGTGTTTTGCATGAAACAACTCCAGAGTAAAATTCTGTCTGGTTTCAGGTTTTAAAGCTTGAAAACACCTTGAGACAACATTTAAGAATCTATGCCAAGCAAGTCAGTGCTAATATTGAAACCATGCTAGATCCCATCCACCTAGCTCCAATCACCTAGCCTCCCTCCTTTACCTTAAAGTATACTTTCCCTGCCTTTTGATAGCACTAATTTTTTTATTGATTACACTGCATTATGTGACACAGTTTTATAGGCACTGGGATTCCCCCTTCCCCTCCCAAAACCCGACCCCCCCCCATGGTGGATTTTTCCACCTTGTTGCATTACCACAGTTCAAATTCAGTTGAGATTCTTTCCTTGCAAGCACCTACCAAGCATAGAGTCCAGCATCTTATTGTCTAGATAAGTTCAACGGTTTCTTGGGGAGACCATCTCTGGTCTGAAGATAGAGCCGACAGAGTATCATCCCAATCAATTAAAAGCCCTGGAATTACATCAGTAACAATTTCTAACGTTATGGAATAGCACTAAATTTAACTCACTGAAGTGAGGGAGTTGTACAGCCAGATCTAGAAGGTTCCAATCATTGGGCTCATGGGGTCTTTTATTTCTCCAATAGGTAACACCTTGATAATCTGTATTTTCTGGTGAGATTTTATCTAAGGGCCTTCTACATCTTAGCAGGGAATCTATGGCCCAGAAAAGAAAACACTGAAACTCACTTAGTCATCATAAAAATTCACTGAAGAGTACAGCATTGCCAAACACTGGGAACATGGACATGAGCTAAACATGTAATGAGCAAATAACTACTGTGACTCCAAATGAGCCCTTTATCACTTACTTGAGGCCAACATACAGCTGTCCATATTCTTTGTTCCCCTCACTTCTGACTCCCCCTTCTTGATAGCCTCCTTAAAAGCCCCAAAGCACCCTAATTCAACAGAACAGTAGTTTTTGGGACTTGAAAGTTGGCTACCTTCTCATATATCAGTAGATTAAACTTTCTCTTATCCTCAAAACTTGTCCATGCCCTTTTGAATTAGCACTGGTGACAGGGACCGAACTTTTCCTAACACGATTGATATGGGCAGGCAAGTTGCTCATGATCATCAAAGAGCTAAGGACTGTCAACACCTAAACCACCTATGTGGCCCAAATCCCATCACCTTCCAAGCTGACTCAACACAGCTGAAGCTTCAGCACTCTCTCTCCTACTCCCTATTATGAAGCTAAACTTCACTTTCCATCATGTACCAGAAGGCTCGATACCTTCCTGGAGACCACCACATGCCCTCAGCCCCACCCAAATCCTGCTCTTCTGAGTGTATACTCAGTGTTTTCCTCATGCACCCTATACAACCTATCCTTGCTTATCCTATAAAAAGGATGGCCCTAGGCTGGGTGAGGGCAGTTCTCCCTCATGAGGCTGCTTGTGCACATTCAGTCTGAGTGTGTACTATCCCTTCACTTGTCAATAAATCCCACCTTTCTGCTCATCTCTATCTACTGGTATTCCTATTTGTATTCCTACATATGGGAAGATGAGAACCTGAATTAAGTCTAGCTAGCTCTCCTAATCCCTATGGCAATATGACTGTTTTCAACTCAGCCAACTCCTTATTTCACTCACCATGAGGCAAAGGTAACTAGAAAGGAACATATCCTGTTACTCCCAGAATTTGTGAGGGTGGTCCCAACCTCAGGCACCACAATCCCCTCTGAACAACGCTTCTACAAAGTTAGAGTTAATGTAATTTAATTTATACTCTAGAATATTGGCAGTTATTTATTTATTCATTTTTACTATTTAGGAGATTACTTCTTTTCAGACTGCCCACAGTTGACCACTCAGTGGCTCACAGGTTTCCTTCCTGTGAGGCTACCATTCTTGAGGATTCTGATTCTTCAGGAAAAATTGCTGAAGCTTTGTGCTCTGGCCATGGTCATGGGTTCAAGACATCTCTCCTGAGTAGGCCATTGGCTATTTAAGAGGAACGAAGGAGAAAAGTATATGTAGTAGACTCTACAGTAACCTCTCAAGAAGAAGCTGGTAACGAAATGGTGCTGTAATCTGTTGTTTTGTGAAAAATCTTATGTCATGAGACCCTTTTTCATCTAATTCTTACTTTTTGTTTTAATTAATTTATTTTAAAAGTCTAGAGAGAAAAAAGAGGAGAAACAGAGATCTTCCAATTGAATTAAGTCCTTATATTGCACATTGGATGCAGATGCTAGTTACCATCAGGCTTCCTATTTTTTTTTTTTATTACAAATCAACCTTTTACTAAATTAACTCACTACATTGATGGAGTGAGTAATCCCGCTATTACCAGACTCATGAGGTCATTTGTTTCTCCACTAGATAACATCTCTGTGTGGTATTGTCTGGACATGTTTCTTTTCCAGGAATTACAGGTTCAGCACAGAAAGTAATAAGCACTGACATTCAACTCACAAACTGAAGTCCACCATTCCATTACACACACACACACACACACACACACACACACACACACACACACACACACACCCTGAAGGTGTGTCGGGTGCATGGACCCAGTTGGAGGGGTGGTAAAGCAGCTTCTCCAACAGTTTTGAGGAATTGTTCTATATGACATCAATTAGTTCATTCCCAAAGTGCGTGCCACAGCTAGGTTTTGCCAGGGCAAACCCAGGAAACAGATACTCAGTTTGGGGAGCATGGGCCCAAGTACTTGAGTTTTCACTTGCTAGCTCCTAAGTTGCACAATAGCAGGAAGTGGAAGTCTGATGTGAAGTGGGGACTTGATCCCAGGCTATTCTGATACGGGATGTGGGTGTCCCAAGTGATGTTTTACATTCTGTGCCAAGCTCCTTGTTCCGGTTTTATCCCATTCCACAGTCCCCCTTTCCAAAAAAACAATAAAAATACAAACAAAAAACTTTCCGTTTGGATTTCTTTTTGAACAATAATTTTATCTTTATATTTGGTTATCATTACAGTTTATTTTGAGAAACTCTGATTGACAATGTTTTCTGAAAATCCAGAATTTTAAGTAAAAACCAGTGATGCAGGAATCACTTTGCTCATTTGTCATGGATTTACTTCCTTTCTATTCAACCATTTGCCTTCATCTAAGTATGACCTAATATGAATTTATAGGAATTCTGAGTCAGAAACCTTTTTTAAAGTGGGAGATATAAGGATTCTGATTTAAAGAGTCATAATAACAGACATTTAAGAGCTGGAAAAAAAATGGTTGTGCTCATTACATAGGACAGTTCATGCTGTAAAGGATTTTTGCAAAAGTTGAGTTGTATATGTTCAATTTCACTTCAATATTAAATATTGAATTAATATTTAATCAATATTCAATATTCAAGACTAATACTGAATCAATATTAAATGTAGTTTATACCTTTAGTGAGAAAAGGCGTTCTCTGGCATGATTTTCAGTGTGTGTGTGTGTGTGTGTGTTGGGGACTGTGTGTTAAAGAAGATAGTTAGGGCGTGGAAAAATGACAGTGTTGCTTGGGTGTTCCTTTGTCCACTCATGCATTTATAATGCAAGTCCTTGTGACATTCTTAATACTCTGCTCATAGAAGGTAGACATGTTATGTGTTTTAAAAGGTCT